AAAAGATTATGACTCACTTTATTGTGATACTCGCTTTACTACAGTGGTCTGGACCTGGACCCACAATATCTCTGAAGTATGTCTATAGAAGATTGGTAAGTCCCTCCTTCCTTTCACATTCCCCTGGCACCTTCCATTAGCAGTCCCTAACAGCAGATATTAAAATAAATAAATAAATAAATAAAGACAAAACTAAACGAAAAGAGAGGGTTGCTGAAGCTGCACGAGTAATTACCCTGGTGGACTGAAAGCTGAAATCACTGACTCCAAGACAAGGAAATCTTTTACTCTCATACCTCATTAGTTATACAGGGTGAAGAGCTGGATTAAAAGATAAAAATGGGATTATTAAGATGCAGAGTTGTGACCCAGAATGAAGTTTCCCATAAGCTATTATACACATGGAATTAAAAAATGGGCAAAAGACCTGAACAGATGCTTCTCTGAGGAGGACATACAGAGGGCCCAGAGACCTATGAAAAGATACTCAGCATCACTAGCCACAGAGATGCAAATTAAAACCACAATGAAATACCACTTCACATCAGTGAGACTGGCCATCATAAATAAATCAACAAACAACAAGTGTTGCAGAGGCTGTGGAGAAAAGGGAACCCTAGTGCACTGCTGGTGGGAATGCAGACTGGTGCAGCCACTGTGGAAAACAGAATGGAATTTCCTCAGCAAATTAAAAATGGAACTGCCTTTTGACCTGCCAATTCCACTGCTGAGATTATATACTAAGAACCCAAAACACCTATCCAAAAGAACCTTATGCACCTCAATGTTCATAGCAGCACAATTTATAATAGCCAAGTGCTAGAGGCAACCTAAGTGCCCATCAGTAAATGAATGGGTCAAAAAACTATGGTACATTTACACAATAGAATTCTATGCAGCACAAACAAAGAAGGAGCTCCTACCCTTCATGATGGCATGGATGGAACTGGAGAACATTATGCTAAGTGAAATAAAACGGGCGCTGAAAGACAAATACCATATGATCTCACCTTTAAGTGGAACCTAATCAATAAAAAAAACAAATAAGCAAGCAAAACAGATCTAGAGACATTGAAATTAAGGACAATCTGACAGTAACCAGAGGGGAGGTAGAAGGGAATAATGGGGGGGAACAGGGGAACTACAGAGGACACATATACAAAACAAAGGGGAGGGAGGTGTGGATGGCTGGGGTGGGGGGAAATGCAGGCAAGTGTACTTGAACAACAGTTAAAAAAAAAGAGAATATCTAATTTGCCCTGCTGGGTAGCTCAGTTGGTTAGAGTGTCATCCTGATTAACCAAGGCTGCAGGTTCAACCCCCAGTTAGAGCACATACAAGAATCAAACAATGCATGTACATATAAGTAGAACAACACACGGTTCCTCTCTCTCTTTTCTCTCTCTAAAAATCAATAAATTAAAAAAACTAATCTTAGTTAAAAATACATATCTCAAACAGGAAAACAAGCACTATTTAAATAATGCCAGCAAATCAACAAGTGGGCCAAGTCAGGTATCCGCTAACTGACCTCTAGTTTCAAATATCCACCTGGAAAAATTACTTTAAATGTTCCACTACCATAAATCAAAGAATGTCTGAAAACTGGTATAACAGTCTACTCCATCAAAGCTGCTACTGCTGAGGGGGAAAAAAGGCATCAAAATTGTTTACAAATTCCCTAAGGCATTTCAGCATTCCAATACAGCATAAGCAGTAAGTAACTTTCTAGATAAATGTGAATTGCCTCAAAGTGTTATAAAATGCTAAAACTTCTATCTTGAGACTGCGACGCATAAGTTCAAGATAGACAACAGTTATACCAGAGGGAAATTAACAAGGAAAATAATTATTCCTCTGCCTCAAAAAGGGAAGTGGTGATTGTGACGGAGAGGAAAGATGGAGACTATTCTCTCACTCAACAAATATTTATTTATAACACAACATCTGCCATACAAATATACAAGCACTATTTACCATACGCCAGGCCTTGTGTTAAGTTCTAGGGAGAGAGCAGTGAGCAAGACAGACCCAGAGTTTACTGTTCTCCCTTAGAAGCTAACATAAAGGAGAAACCCTACAGAAAAAACAGTAAGTGCACCAGTATGTTAGAACCAAAAATCCATATTTTTCAAGTTACTGAATAGTAATAAAAGTTAACAGCTGTTTGTATAATAAACAATTAAGTGAATACCATATGTCAATTATAATGTCAATCAGAGCAAATAAAAAAATTCTTGCCTCAAAGACTTCACAACCAAGGTTCTTAGGTAAATACATTTTTATACAAGAAATACTATAATAAAAAATTATATAACTTTCTAAGGAAATACATAAGATAAAACAACTTCATTCTACTAGGCAGAGGGAACTGGAGTCAGGGAAGGCTTCACATCAGTAAGCTGAGCCTTAAAAAAAATAAACAGGAGTTTGCCGGGCAAAGTTTCAAACAGAGGAGAAAACTGTAAGTCATGACACAGAATGCAGTGCAGTACAGAGGATGGAAGATGGGGCTAGGCAAGTGATTTGTGGCTCAGTTCATGAAGATTCCAGTACACTGCCTCAAAAAAAGTTTGGGCTATGGTAAATTTATAAAAAGGGGTGATACCATTACTAGGTCAGGATTATAGAAAAATAACTGATGGCAGTATGGAGATTGAAAAAGCTAAAGTACCAGAAGCAAAGAGACTAGTTTTTAAAGGATACTATTGTAGGCCAGGGGAGAGGTGATAGAGACTAACAGAACAGCAGTGAAAAGGGAGGGAGAAGGAAATCACAGAGAGCAGGGTAAGTGGCTAATGAACTGGATGTTGGAAGGAGAGGTGGAGTTGAGTATGGAATTATTTAAGATAAGGGAAATAAAGAGAATCAGAATGTTTGGCAAGAAGATATGTTACATTTTAGATAAGCTGAATTTTGTATTTTGAATGTATTAATTCTATTCACTGAAAGAATAGTTCTTCTCATTCATTCCCAGTCCAGAATAACATTTATTCATTCAACAATTTCTTTTTGGAATGCTATTCACATATCAAGCATCATTATAAAGGCTGGAAATCAGAGACCAAACAAAGTTCCTGTCTTACATTTTAGCCTCTTCTTATGATATAAAGACCAGCAAGGAAAAAAGTCAAAGTTAAAAATATGGATATATAATACATAACCCATATGATTTCTTCAAATGGAAGCTTCCAGGTAGTATGGTAAAACATGTTTTATATCAAACTGGAATTGAAAAACTGTAGAAGTGGTCTCTTTTTTCTGGTAATGAATACTTGATAATTTATGTGTTTGACAGGTTTTAGCCTTCATACATTAGTTTTGTTCATATTGAAATATATTGATGGCTAATTTTTTTATGTTACACTATCCCAGCGATTTTCAACCTTTTTCACCTCACAGCACATATAAACTAATGACTAAAATTCTGTGGCACATCAAAAAACATATTTTTGCCAATCTGACAAAAAATAAGTATAATTCTGATTCACTCACACCAGATGGCTACTGCCATATAATGGAAATGAGGTCAGTGCCCCTGACTAAAACTAAATAGTCAGGTATCACATGTTTTAATTATTGTTGTAGCAAATCAGTTGAAAATTGCTACACTACCCTAATGACACTAGGGAGTTACACTATCAAGAAGGTACTGGAAACTAAAAAGCTACCCCTCATACAAACTGAGTTTTGTTCAAACTGCTTTAAAAATTGATGATATTCTCTTTTTAACTTTAAAGTTTCTTTCCTACTTTTCAACGAGAATCGGCTTGCTAAAGCAAAGTTTTACTATGACCTCTAATTAAACAATTAATTTTGTGTTACTATTTCACTCAAAGTACTACACAAATACTTTTACCTACATTTTTCTTTTTAATCTCTTAAACAAGTTTATTAGCATGTTTATTGGCATGCTAATATTAGTTCCTAAAGAGAAGCTTATTTAAGACAAAGTTATTTAACTCTACTACTATTTGAGAAAAAGTTATCTAACATCTAGCAGACACATTTTTTCTTCAACTCCTCGAGAAACATTTTATTTTCTATTATTTTCAAAAAGATTACTGAATATGTCCCACACCTAGGTCATTTATTCTTTCTTAACACCTACCCTTTGTCAGTTTCCCATCACTTTTAGTACTTCCAAGTTCCCCAAACTTACTCTCAACTTATTTTCTACATCTTCATTGGTCATTACTTGGACGAATGGTTCCCAACAAGAGCAGAAAAGGCCTTTGGGGACACTTCGAAAATCTGTATTCCTTTTCGGTAGGGGAGAAGATAATTGGTGGATGGAAGACTATGGATCCTAGAAATCCTAATAAGTATGAGACAGACAACCCTGGAATCAAAGAACTGTCTGCATCCCTCAAAATTTTAAGACTCTACTGGACACTAAGTAGACACTGCGGGATGGAGTAGCAGGGAACGTGGTGTAGAAAAGGGATAAAACAGTGCTGGACTTCCCCCATCTCATTCATTCTTCCTGTAACTGTAGCCAGAGAGAATCGTACAATGGCCCTACTATCACTCGTTTACTTAAAACTCATCAAAATGGTACCACTGCCCTCAGAATATCCCAATTCTTTCACGTTGCTTACCACGATTGAAATATTATGGTGACTATAATAAAATACACTGTTTTCTTTCCAAAACTGGACTGGGGTCTCCTAGGTGATAAAGAGAATCCATCCTACAGCACTTACAACAATCAATTTCCAAATGCCTGTTTTGGTCTGTATCCCCGACAAGACTGCAAGCTCCTTGAGGGGACAGAAATTCTCTAAACATGCCTCGTTGCAACGCCAGGCACAGCACAGCGTTGGAGCTGAAGGAATTAACCTTGGGGTGATGATGGTGAATGAAAGCCGAGAACCAGGGTTCGAGGGAAAAGGGGGTACACAGAGGTGAGGCAGGACTCGGAGGAACTCCCTGCGGCTGCTACGTGGCCCAGCCCGGAGCTAAGAGCTGGAGACGGGTGGGAGCGCAGCAGGACTCACCAGTCCCTGGTCAATCTCCGCGTCGGGCTGTTTGCTCGAGGGAGGCGAGTACTTGAGGCCCTCACTCCTCGCTGAGACCCCAGCACCACCACCCGCAGCCATGACAATGGGGCCCACCGTGACGCGACAATGCCGACGTCCGACTGAGACGCACCGAGCTGCTGCCGCGGAGCCGCCTACGGGACGGCGGCAGGGACAAACTAGGCGCGTGGCTTCTCTGTTTTAGTAGAGGTTGCACCCGCTCAGCTGGTTGAGGGCGGGTCACTGGGAGATCTTACCTAGGCTGGGGCAAACCCGTTTGGTTAAAGCATAGAGTCACACTCGGAGCTGAGTAGGGTGTTTTGTTTGTCTCAAGTTTGCTGGGCCAAAGCCAACACTAAGGCCTCCTGGGACAGTGCAAGGTTGGCCCTGGCCAGCTCCCCAAGTAGCCCCAAAAGCCTTGGTTTAAGCCTAAACCCTGGTGTTGGTCTCATGGAACTGCAGTGCCTGAAGGTCCCTGACTCACACAAGACCTTTCTTCCTACCCCCTACTACTGATTATATTTCTATTTAATGCCACAATTCTCCCATCCATGAAAGCAATATTAGAGACAATTTCTTACCCATCTCCAATATAAATGGCTATATTTAAGACTAACTTGCAAAGAATACATCTCAACCACAAATGGTTTTGTGGAGACTTGAATGTAGAAAGACTCCACTTTATTATGAATTTGTAAGTCGAGCCTTTTTGAGCAAAAATTGACCAACAGATGAAGCATGTATAGTGTTTTCCAACTCCTGTATACCAACTTGACAGCAGTTTTGCCCTTTATACCCATTGCAAAAGCAGCTTACAAGAAGAGAAATCTTTCTTTTCTCTATTCCTGAATTTAAAGTTTTGAGGGTCTATTAACTTATTTATTTAGTTACTATTACCAGCAAGTCCAAGAAGTTAGTGATTGTAAGAATGTACAGTCTTGCAGGGGATATAACACTGACACAGAGTGTAACAACACATACCAGAACATGAACACATGCATTGTCCAGCAGTATAAAGAACTGGACTAAAAGGATGGAAAAGATTTAAGTCCAGTGTATACTCTATTTTCTCTAGGCTTGTATCTCTGAGCATGTCCATTAACCTCTCTAAATTTCTCCTTATCTATGGAAGAAGAGCAACATATGTCCAACATTTTGACTCAGGAAAGTTGTAAGGATAAAATGAAAAAAGATATGGAAGTAATCTGTATGATTGCACAGTGCACTCATGAAAAGTGTTACTACCACAGGTATGGCCTCTTTTACATTTTTTTGATTGGTTTTAAAGAGAGATATGGAGAGAGAGAGAGAAATATCAATTTGCTGTTCTACCTTTTTATGTATTCATTGGTTGATTTTCAAATGTGCCGTAAGTAGGAATCTAACCTGCAATTTTGGTGTATTGAGCAACATTCTAACCAACTGAGCTGCCCAGCTATGGCAAAAACAGCCTCTTTCTCTGGGGTCATCTAAGAAGTTTAGCTAGTGGCTTAGCTGTTGAGATGGCTAGTAAAGAATGGGTAAGACTTTTTTAGATGGAAGAGGAAGAGGGCTGAAAATTTCAGCTGAAAACAAATACAAAGAAATTTAAAAGGTTGTATATAGGACTGGGTAAAAAACACACATCAAGACTCTTCAGGGGAAAGGGACTGGGATAGCAATTTGTCAGTTATAAAAGTCAAGAAATGCAAAGTACAGCATAGGGAACGTAGTCAATAATATTGTAATAACTATGTATGGTGTCAGATAAGGGTACCAAATTTACTAGGGTGATCACTTTATAAGTTATGTAAATCTCTATTCCCTTTATTGTACTTAAAACTAATATAGTATTGTATGTCAACTGTAATTGAAAAAAATTTTAAATATTTAAAAATAAAAGACCAGCAACATGGTCTTATCACAGATATTAATTTTCATTAGACTGGTGTACAATTATCAAGGGCACTGGTGAACTAAGCAAATGAATTTGATTGGAGTCCACAGGTCATTCATTCATTCATTCATGTATTCAACAAATATTTACTGAGCATTTGTTAGATATCAGGCATTGTTCTAGGCACAGGGCTTATAGTGTCAAGTAAACAAACTAGATCTCTGATTCTTTGGAGTTCACAGTCTATAAGTCACAGGCTGCCAGCCTGGAGCAACTGGAACAAGACCCAGGTCAGCTGCAGCACCTCTTAGGGCAACTGATGCCCCTGCTCAAGAACTAAAGCTCTGGAGCAGAAGTCAGGAGAAGGGGAAAAAGGAGAACTGGGCCAGGAAGAGAACAGCAAGTTGAAGGGGAGATGGACTCAGTAGGGTAGCTCCTTGGCTCAGATCCCAACCTACTGAGAGTGGTTTGCTAGCTGCTTACAGGCTTGACCCCAGTTCCACTACTCCTATACTAGTAGTTGGTATTAAAGAAAAATCTTACACAAAGACTACTCTGTTCTCAGCCTTTGGTTCTTTGCTAAGGTCACCCTCATGAGGAAAGAAAGGATAGAAATAAGAGCAATTAAGTCCTCTGTCTCCACACAGGATGTCTTCCTTACTTGACCAAACTGAATTCCCTGGCTTCCTTGAGAAAGAATAGAAATGCTTGTTGAGAAACCCAAAAGGGAGACCACATCAAAAATTTCACTGGCCTTTTAAAAATCAATTATACCACTTCAAAGACAGATTACATTATGTTCAACTGAATATGTAAAAGAAAAAACATACAGTAGTAAAGACATCCTAAAACATGTCATTAAACAAAAATATTTTTACCTCTGGCTCAGATGGAGATGTAGATAAATACTCTTTGCCTCCTCACACAACCAAAAGAAGGACAACGATAAATTTAAAAATAAAAAACAACCAGAACTGCTAGAAAATCAAACTTTATGGATGTCGACACCCATGAAATTAAAGAAGAAGTATTCATCCAGACTGGTGGAAGGGATGGAGATGGGCAGCTGGGGTGGAGAGGACATGTGGCAAGGCATCTTCTGGAGGACAGGGCAGTCCCACATTTATGTGTGGATATACCTGGAGGAATAACAGGAGTGAGAAAGAGAGTACAGCCCAGGGCTCCAGCATGGGGGAATAATGCCTCACAACCTCTGAAGGTAAAAACCCGTGGGGGTTGCAGCAGTGAGAGAAACTCCCAGCCTCACAAGAAACTTCACTGGAGAGACCCACAGGGTCCTAGAACATACACAAAACTACCCACCTGGGAATCAGCACCAGAAGGGCCCAATTTGCTTGTGGGTAGTGACTGAGAGCTGGCTGAGAGCTGAGTAAGCAGCATTGATCTCTCTCAGACCCCTCCCCCATACATGGCACCACAACAGAGAGAAATGGGTTGTCCCACCCATTGAGAATATCTAAGGCTCTGCCCATTTACAATGGAAAAGGCACACTGAAACAAAATATATATATATGGCCTAAATGAAAGAACAGATCAAAACTCCAAAAGTAGAACTAAGCAGTGGGGAGATAGCCAACCTATCAGATGCATAGTTCAAAACACTGGTAATCAGGAATGATTGAGTATGGTCACAAAATAGGGGGGAAGTGAAGGCTATGCAAAGAGAAATAAAGAAAAATATGCAGGGAACCAACAGTGAAGGGAAGGAAATCAGGACTCAAATCAATAGTTTGAAGCAGAAGTAAGAAATAAGCATTCAACCAGAACAGAATGAAGAAACAAGAATTCAAAAAATTCAAGAAGGGGATCCACCCTTTACAACATAACAGGTACACTGAGACAAAGAAATATGGCCTAAATGAAAGTACAGATCAAAATGCCAGAAAAAAACAGCTAAGCAACAAGGAGATAGCCAACCTATCAGATGCAGAATTCAAAACACTGGTAATCCAGATGCTCAGAGAAATGGTTGAGTATGGTCACAAAATATATGAAAAAGTGAAGGCTGTGCAAAGTGAAATAAAAAATACAGGGAACCAACAGTGAAGGGAAGAAAATGAGACCCAAATCAATAACTTGGAACGAAAAGAAGAAATAAACATCCATTCTGGAACAGAATGAAGAAACAGGAATTTTAAAAAATGAGGAGAGGTTTAGGAACCTCCAGGACAATTTTAAACATTCCAACATCTGAATCATAGGTGTGCCAAAAGGAGAAGAGGAAGAACAAGAAATTGAAAACTTATTTGAAAAGATAATGAAGGAAAACTTCGCCAGTATGATAAAGAAAATAGACTTCCAGGAAGTCCAGGAAGCTCAGAGTACCCAAAGAAGTTGGACCCAAAAAAGCACACACCAAGGCACATCATAATTACTTTACCCAAGATTAAAGATAAGGAGAGGATCTTAAAAGCAGTAAGAGAAAAGGAGACAGTTAGGTATAAAGGAGTTGCCATTAGACTACCAGCTGATTTCTCAAAAGAAATCTTGCAGGCAAGAAGGAGCTGGAAAGAAGTATCTGAAGTCATAAAAGGCAAGGACCTACATCCAAGACTCTGCATCCATACTCTATCCTGCAAAGCTATCATTTAGGATGGAAGGGCAGATAAAGTGGTTCCCAGTAAGGTGAGTTAAAGGAGTTTATCATCACCAAGCCCTTATTATATGAAATGTTAAAAGGACTTATCTAAGAAATAGAAGATCAAAAACTATGAACAGTAAAATGACAACGAACTCACAAATATCAACGACTGAACCTAAAAAAATGAAAACTAAGCAAATAACTAGAACAGGAACAGAATCACAGAAATGGAGATTACATGGAGGGTTATCAGCAGGGAGGGGGAGAAGGGAGAATGGGGAAAAAGGTACAGGGAATAAGATACATAAATGGTAGGTACAAAATAGATTGGGGGGGATAAGAGTAGTATAGGAAGAAAAGGAGAAGCCAAAGAACTTATATGTACAACCCATGGACATGAACTGTGGTGGGGGAAGGCTGGTGGGGGGGGTGCAGGGCAGATGGGAATAAAGGGGAGAAAAAGTGGGATAAATGTAATAGCATAATTAATAAAATATATTTTTAAAAGTTTTAAACATTTGTTGTTTAAAAAGACTTTTGGCAAAAATAATTTTAAAAATATTGAACTCTGCCCTTGCCAGGTAGTTCAGATGATTGGGGTGTTGTCCTGTACACCAAAGAGGTTGCTGGGTCACTTCAAAGGCAGGGCACCTGTGGAAGGCAACTGA